GCAAGTGGAAAACAAGAGCAGCGGTGGCTGAATGGGACACTGCGATATCTAGAGTTTCAGGGCCTCACCGGGCTCTCGGCCCATAGACACAGACACGGCTCATTACATGAGCAGACTGTATGGAGGCCAACCGAAAACTGTCTTGTGAGACACTCAGCATGTATGATTCACGGGGGGAAGTGTAGCCTGGACTCTGAATGTTGGCTGAGTGCACGGTGATGAAATATTCTGTAAGTACCTGCAACTGTGAACTGAGGAAGGAGAGTAAGATCCAAGATGATCCAAGATGAGGAAAACTAAGGTTGAGTCCCATAAAACCTTTCCCCAATGTATCTGTTGTGATTCTTCTTTCCTCCCTGATTTTCAGCCACGCTACCTATGATGCTCATAAGGATGTTGCTTGCTCCACCACTTTAGTCTAAACTAAAATATCCCAACAACTTTAAGATGGATTGTCATCTTAGTGATGTTGATGATAACCTGTTGATTCACTTAGCATCACAGACAGGTCAAGGTTTTCACTTATCTTTCCAAATATCTCAACATCTACTGAATGGATTCTGAAAACCTTTTTCTACACAGATTCAAGGTCCCCAGAGGATGAATCCCATTGATTTTAGTGATCTCCTTCCTCTAGCGCCACCATGAGGTTGACATTTGTGGTTTTCTGGGTAATGATGTATTGTCGTGGAATTTGGTTCAGGTATTCATGTCCTCTTCTGGATATTTTTAATAACTTTGCTTTTTTCCTGACTTTTCATCTTGTGACATCATCAGGTCCAATACTTTGATTTATGACCAATGTTAGCATGCCAACACGTTAAACTATATTTGTTAACCCTTGTGCCTCATGCTCTGTGTTAATTCATATGGCAAACATTTTTGGGAAGGAAGGTTGTTTTTCAAATTTTGGAAGTTCAACCTCAAATTCTATAATAAGTCTATAACAAGTAAAAAATATTGCCATTGAAACCCATTAAAACCAACATTTGTGATCCCACTTCAACTACAGTATAAAATCAAGCATTCTATTATATTTGGCTTTCAATTTAGAGGCCTGGCTTTAAATTTGTAGCTTTTTATATTTCCCATCAGATCGAGTCATTTTCTCATGTTTGAGGCATATACATGCTATTTTCCTGGTTTCCTGTATAGTGTGTAAGAAAATATCAATACACTTGAGTATCGCAATATTATGTTTTGTGATACTGTTTAGATTCTCAACAACACTGTATCGATTTCCAATTAGTTTATTAATGTAATATATTGAATCCGTACGCCTGTATCACAATATGTGTGGTATGCCAATGCACAGCCCTAGTTTCCTGAACAAAATATAGAAATGCATCAAAATCAATGTTGTTGCTAATAATTGACATATCCCAGACAGTGTAAAAAAACAACAACTAGCATTTAGTACACAAAAATAATTATTTTATTGTGGTTCTTTCATAAAAATACAACAGTGGAATTGTGTAAACAAATTGGCTTAAAGGGTTAAAATTATTATCATCAGGACTGATATTGATTAAAAAAAACTGAAGTGAAAGAGGAAAAATAGAAAGTATTTTTAGAAAGTTTTATAAAGTAGTATTTTTAGAAAGTTTTGGGAAATAGACATTTTATATACATAATGGCATTGTCATTAGGAGCATTTTAGGCTGCTCGTGTTAGCATTTAGCTCAAAGCATGGCTGTGCCTGAGAACAGCCTCACAGAGCTTCTAGCCTGGCTGAAGACTCCTCTTCTTCATATTTATTTTTTCATCCGAGTTGTTCATTGTGAAACTTACATAACCCAACTTGACAGCCACCGTGGCATAAAATCACTGACGTCTATCTGAATGTTTTACAGACTGTCACTTTTAATGGATGCACTTTCTCAATAATTCATTAGCATGCCTGTCTTTGCCCATTGATGCATCTGTTCTTCACGTCAGCCAGAACAGAACCTTAGAGGATGCAACACCTTAAATGAAGACAGTTGGGCATGAAAATGACTTGTACCTACTCACATAGTGGACTTGCATGCATAAACACATGCACACACAGAGAAGTCCCGGAGGACAGCTGTCAGATTCAAACTAATGAATGCTGAGGCTGGCACCATAATGGATTTTTTTCTTTCTTTCTGTCTCTCGCTGTCCGTCCGTCTGTCTGTCTGTCTTGTCTGTCTGCCTTTCTCACATCAGCATCCTGGCAAAGTGGACTCTGACGCTGACATTGTCTGACACTGGCTGCCTGTGAAACACGGGGTCAAAGTACATCATCCTCCCCGCATAAAAAGGGCCAACAAAGTTCACCAAAACTTCTCCTATATGGTGCTGTGTTGACTGTAAAATGACCTCCTATGTTCGTTTCTGTGGCTGAGGAACGTTTTAATTACACACCTTCATGCAACAAATAGTAGTGTTGCATCCAGCTCCTCCTCACCTGCCCCAAGTTCTGACGTACTGTCTACCTAAAGCATCTAATTATGATCTGAGGGCATGCTGGGGCATGTTGCTCTCTGCTACTATTTCTAGATATTTGTTTTTTTATGTTTCCACAGTCAAGAAAAGGTTGCCATCCCTCAATGCTCTGATTCGATCCCAACTGACTGGTCCAAGTGCTGCTTGTGTAATCATATCCGGGCACACTAACTAACGGCTCTGGTGCCCTCCTCATGCATTATAGACGAACAGATTTTCTGGCGTATAGTTGTGTGGTGCTGTGTTGGCACCGCGATGGTGTGGTCCAGCCATTGCCCGCGGCTGCGTTCCACTCGCAGATAATTAGGGAACTCTGCTCTTCTGCTTCTGTGTCAAACCAGGCAGCGACCGCCATGTATTCTTTGTTTGAGGATAGTTAATGTGTCCGGAGCAGTTCTCTCATTGAATTCTAATGTGATTTATCTCGATATAGAGTTTTTTAATGTTTTTTCAGGGCATCACATACCCAGAGAATAGGCTACTTTATGTTAATTGAACTGCAGTATTCTTATATAGTGGTAGAAAGTATACACTATACAGTTTTACTTTATGGTACTTGTGCTTTATTTGAATATTTAGATTTTATGCATACCCGGTACTTTATTTTTACTTTATTACATGTTATTTTGCAGATTGAGATTTTTTATTGAAAACAGATGATTATTTAAAAATATGACCATTTAAAAACTGTTTATAAAATAGTTAAATAGCCTCTAGGTTGATACATCAATGTTACTAAACTCAAGTCACATAATAGTATAAAGAATTATATAACTCTCTAAGGGGCCATCTTGTAGATGGGTGTTTTTAGTTTTGATACTTTAATTTTTCTGTTAATAGTTTCATTCATTTATTGAAGTAACATCTTGAATGCAGTACTGCTAGTTGAAAAGTGACATTGTTTTAGTTGAGTAAAGAATCTGAATCCTCCACCACTAGTTATACTGTCACAGAATAGCATTAGGGTTGAAATCATTTGTCCATTAATCAATTAGTTGTTTGACAGGAAATGTATTGCAACTTCTTTGATGGTAGATTGATGTCTGGTTCTTTTTAATAGAAGAAATGCTAAAAATGTCCAACTTTGTAATAAATATTGAAGATTTGCTATTTTCTTTGTGATAGTTAACTGACGATCTTTGGGTTTCATCCATCACAGAAAAAAATCTAAATGTTTCTGTCCATTCCCGGATGGCATGTTTAATAACAGCATGAAAGATGGCCAAGTATTAGAAACCACGGCACCACACTTAGCTTCTGTGACTGTAACGGCAATTTTCCTGTTGCGTAATGGAGCCTCTTTCCCTGTGACTCACACATGCTTGACAGTAGGTTAAGTAAACACCTGATAATTAGCTTGAGGGGAAAGCAAATATGAATATGAAAAACATATTTTATTTTCTCTTATCAGCCAGAAACTGGGCTCTCTCTTTTGGCAGCTTAAAACATGCTCGACAACCACTTGTCCACAAGAAACACTTTCAGACGTTTAATTGTGTGACTGGGCTGGCTGCACCTGTGGCTCATATGCAGGTAACCCTGGAAGACTGCGAGACCTCAGGGAGGAATATTGAACTATAAATGTGTTTCTCAGGTACAAAAAGCAGGAATGATAAACAAATGGCCTTTTGCTCTGCATGTCTGTACGTTTATTTGGTAAGAGCACTGGCAGTCCACTAACTACATTGAGCTGGGCACATGCTGATGATGTCATGCTATCTTCACAGTATAAGGACAACTTCTGTGAGGCTGCAGCTGGAGCAGACAGGGAATCAATCCACATGAGGAACAGAAACTGTGTGGGTTTCTATTGCTATTTCAACTCACATGCACAATAACCATTTGACAAGCCACAAATACAGCAATGATGTAGTGTGTGTGTGTGTGTGTGTGTGTGTGTGTGTGTCTGTGTGTGAAAGCACATCAATTCATAATGAGCTTCTGTGAAGCTTTTTATAGGACTCGCCAACCGCTGGCTGAAATACATTAACCTTCTGTCTGTGGATGTCCTTCTAAATCCATGGTGGGAGTGTTTTTGCTTTCAGTGAATACCTCAGCAGGGCCAATAGGATTGTGTCAGCTGGTGAAACCATGTCCGTGCAGATAACAATCCCCATAGCTACCTCCTCTGGTTTTCTTCCTGCCCATGTCTTATTCAGCCCTGTTGGTGTGCAGTGTCAGTGCTGCTGGTTTTAGTGGGAATATGCATGGCTCTGGGGGAGAAACCCTGCACGCTGTGGGCTTTGGGGTGCGGCTCACATAACACTAATGGCTTACGTGCATCAATACACCAATACATCAATATCTATGTGTTCCATGCTCTGTCTGAATGACTGGCAAGAATTGTGTGGCACATACATAGGCCTGTTGCTGTGTGTAAAAAAGAAGTGACGCCGACCACATTTAGAGGAACAAGAGAAGTGTTGCACCTGCTAAGTCACATCCTCTCGCTGAGCCACAGGTCACATGCACTGGCATGAGAGGTGATTCTGTCTCTTTGCCACTGTGGGTGCACTGGCATATAATAGAAGGAAGTCACTTAATTCTTTATCAGTGTCACTTTCAATTTCAACTTGAAATTTTAGTGAAGTCAAACTAACACGTGCCACTATTTATGCAGTTATTCTGATTTGTGGCAAATGTGAATGAAATGTAGCCGCTGGTTCTGAATGTACGATTCTATAACATTACCGTATATATATAGAATCACAGCTCTTGTTTTTGCCCCTAAGAGATTCTCTGTAGTGAATGACGTAAATCCAAATGAAAAACAGTCTGTATGCTGTTATAAGACCTCTGGTGCTTCAGTTACCGAGTCATTAAAGGACCCATGTGATGTTCTAACGGCTTGTGCTGACGTCTTCCTGTGCAGCCTGGCTTCCCTGAGGCCAGTCAGAAAGAATGGGCCTTCAGTAACTTAATTGAATAACTTCTACAGCCTGTTCCCTAAGAGCAATTTGGCGAAGGACAGATCAAGCCAAGACTTAAAAGTGAAATATATATCTACAAAAACACAGAAACTGCGGTGACAACACCAACAACACATGTACTACACAGCTAAGAAATGTGGAGTCTCTCTCTGTTTCCCACCTCCGTGTGACTTATATTCAGCACTGCAAATCTGAGCCGCTCAAGGTAAATCCCCACTTACTGTATTTGTTGTACAAATCTAGACACAAACTTCAACGAGTTCATATAATTTTCTTTTTTATTGATAATTCAATGAGGTTCACATAACAAACCACATTTTCTTTTAAAAAATAGCATATTTATATTTTAAACATCTTACTTTACATCTTATTATATGGTGTTTTTCTTTTGCACAGCAAAGATAAGACATTTATGTTTCAGACAACATACCAACAAACATTATGTACATGTAGTCAACATAATACTTGAATGAATTCAACAAGAGTGCAAAATAAAGTAAATGAACATGCTGTTGCAAAAGCGCCTTCACAGGAAAATTAAGGATGCCTGTTTAGACCCACTGAACCACTTAGGAAAAGAACAAAACGTGCTTTAAAACGGAATGTTTTTTGGATCACGATGAGCATCTTTCAACGGAAAAATGCAATTTTCAAGAGAGAAAAAAAGTTAGGTAAACAAGCTTGAGGATATAGCAAATCCTCTTAAATGAAGGAGATGGAATTAGTGCAGTGTGTCCTGCGGCGCACTGGGGTCATCTGTCAAATCGCCATGCACTTGTTTTTGGTGTTTACACATTCTTCAAATATAATTCAGTAGCCTAATTGCGTGCCCATGTGCGGTAATAGTCTCGGAACCTTCTTTTTTTTCTGGATCCTGTCAATTAGTCGTGGAGGCACCAGATTACACAACCACTCTCCAACACAAGGTTGAAGACACAGGAAATGCTTCTTGTGGAGACACAGTGGCTCAACAAAACAGAGGCACCAAGAAATGCTTAAAATGAGTCAGGCAATTTCCTGCACCTTTACCTCCTCAAACCCGTTAGTGATTGGAGGGGGCTCCTGACTGCTCTCTATGGAGGACTCGCTCCCCGTGCTCTCCCCAGACAGAAGTCTGGTGACTCTGAGGTCAGCTTTTAGTGTCTGCACGTCGTTTCCTATGCTCATCTCTCCCAAGTCGTTAATAATCTGAGACAACTCCTGTTTGCCGTTGGCAACACGATCCCCGTCCGTGTCCAGAATGTCCTCACACTCAAAGTGCATCGCTTTCTCCTCCTCCTCCTCCCCGACCAAGTCCTCTGTGATAGAGCCCAGTTTGGGCGCGCTCCGGCTGCGCTCCACCGGGGGTTTGTAGTAACACTGTCCGTTCAGCAGCTTCCTGATGGGGACCAACGGTATGGTTTGTTCCCCTATGAGCTGCTGCTGCTGGTGCCTGGCGTCGTCCCTTCGTTTTAGTCTTTTGAACTCAGCCAGGGCCGTGGCCGAGGTCTGGTACAGCAGCAGCGCCATGGCCTTTGCCTTCTCCGGCTTGGACACCAGCACTGCGTGGCAGCGCAGCATCACGGCCTTGTGCTTCATTTCGTGCCTGTAAACCCAGGCGAAGATCTTGGGTAGCCTCGGGTCCGCCACGCAGTAGGTTATCCGGTGCAGCAAGTACAAGTGTCCCGGCCTCCTGGCCTTGTCATCCACATGCACCATCCGGATGCCCTGCGAGCTGATGGTCAGCCTCATCTTGGTGCCGTTCTTGCCCATTTCGCTTTTGCCCCAGATCTTGCTCACCGCCACGTCCGTGCAGCCGTCCCCTTTGGACTGGATGGTGGTGGCATTCCCCAGGTAGAGCACCGTGTACGTGGGGTCCTCGCTGGTGATCTTCACCTTTTTCCTCTTGGACTTGAACATGCTGCCCACCCTGTTGAGTGCGCTCTCGGGGCAGGACTTGGCGAAGGAGGTGAGAGCAGAGTAGTTGAGGCTCACAGCATAGCCCTTCTGCTTGGACTGCCTGTCTTCCTCAATCAGGTCGAACTTATTCTTCTTCCAAGGCAGCATTTTATTGCTGTTTACAATCAACAGCAACAAAGTCTACGGAGAGAGAAAGAAATAAAAAACTTTGTATTACTACTAAATCCTAGAGGTGTTTATGTTGCTCGTCAGGTCATTTGTGTGCTACTCTCTGGGAACTGAACGCAAAAACACCGTACTTCATATGTTCCTCCTCTAACGCGCTCTTTTCCATTGTGGTGCCTTTCGCTCTGTCTCTTCACAGCTCTGCACACAGACTGCTGTTGTTGGACGAGCTTCGCGGAATATATTCAGGGAGAAACCATTTGAGTGAGAATGCAAGGGGGGGCGGCGAAACCAAATGACAATAGACATGTAATGGTTTGTATTGATTGTGTTCATTGATACAAAAACCTTACGTTTACCCTCTGTTTTCCAAATGGCTGCAGCCTATTTTGTATACATGTAAATAAATATGTATATATATATATTTAATATACCAATTCATTAACGAATGCGCAATTAGGCATATTCCCACCCCACCAAACTCAATATTTAGACTTAGACACAAATTAGACTTAAGATATGTAGCTCATTTCCTTGGCTTTCAACATATCTATTAACGATTTTAACTGGAATTTGAAGTGTGTTTTCTCCTCCTGAGATGAATCTGCATCTACAATCTTTTCCCTTCTCACTTAAATGCAATTTTAACATTGAAAACACAAGCTGTGTATAATAGGCTGTATAATATAAAGTTGCCAAATATTTACTTTGTATGTCTGCTCATCATTTTGGGTTAGGTAGACGAGTTTAGGAGAGTCATTCTGATAAAGCTGTTTTATGCTGCCATCTTTTGGTTAACATCAGAAGTGCTTTTGTTAATCTCGTGTAACGAGGGAAGAGTAATTACTTGTTACTTTGCCATTACTAACTTTTAATTTGTGAATTTAATCTAATGTCAATCTACTTTAGTGCTATATCTATGAAGTCTGTATTTATATGTATTTTATTGTAAAACTTGAGGCGCGAGGAACAAATATTAGTAGTGCCCCATTTTCTTCAGGGCACATTTGATAGCTGGACAAGCAAGTAGACTGTACCATAGCAACGACACTGTAAATGCTTACAATAAAGCAGATATTATCCTACGTGTTTAGTGGATAATTATGCAGGAGTGGTATGACAATTAGTAACAACTAAACTAAGATATATCAATCAATATCCCCAAGTAGTTGAGGTCGATTCGTCCGGATATGAGGTTCGATTGGTTGTTCCCACTTCCGGTTCCTACGACAACAACGTTGTGCACATGGGGTACAGTAGCTAGTGACATATAGCGTGTTTGCTCCCTTTAGATACACTATATTACAGTTTTTTTGTGTGTGGAGTATACTTTATATATATATATATATATTAGAACAGACGTGTCAACATCAAAAGTAAGTATGGGTAAGAAGAAAGCAGGCGGAGGAGGCGGACTGGGTCGAGCGCTGATCAAGGAAAGACTCCAGGCAGGCCGAGGAAACAAGGGGCCGAAGGGCGAGACCTGGGTATGTCAGGGCATCAACTAGCTTACATTAAACATGTTTAATCAAATCATAGAGGAGAGGACATTTATTTCACTGGCTACCCCTGTGGAGATCAATTATACAGGAACACTTTTTTGCCATACCATCATAAAATTGTTAGAACTGGTTCTGTGTGATTTTCTATTAATGGAGGCATTATTACACTAGATCTGGAGGCATTATTTGATAATTGTTGATAATTGATAATTGTTTCACATTTTCAGCGCCACACATGTGAGCTGAATGATGGCTATGACTGGGGACGGCTCAACCTGCAGTCAGTGACAGAACAGAGTTCCATGGATGACTTTCTGGCCACTGCAGAAATGGCGGGAACAGAGTTTGTTGCAGGTAAGCGATACCTCACTTAACTCACGTGTACTTCTTCGGTTGTACATGTATGCTGTGGCCAAAGAATCATTTTTACTTACCAAGCGTGGCAAGGGGTACTCGCTGCCCCAATACATGTAATTCTCTGACACAACTGTTGTTTGTAAACCTCATATTAAACTGAATGCAAACCAAGTTCACACTGGTTGTTGCACAACACATTTTGGGTTGTACCTGTTGATACTGTGTTGTATGCAGCTGCAATGTAATAGTCTTATCATTGAGCACATGAACTGGTAGGTCACCGTGTGCCTCACCCTCACAGCTTAGAGGATCAAAGATAAATTGTGCTCATGGGTAATGGGCGCTCAGATATATTTAGCCTTAAATGTTACTGTGTTGTCTAATACTCCTCTGTCCTTTGATTCTACTACTGTCTCTGACTGTTTCATGCTTCGTTTTCTTAGAGAAACTCAACATCAAGTTTGTGCCAGCGGAGGCCAGAGCAGGCTTAATAACAGCTGAAGAGCGAACCAGGCTGAAGAAGCTGCATGAAGACAACAAGCATTTCCTCAGAATTCCGAGACGGTAAGTACACATATCTAGTGTATTTGATGAATTGGCCGTACTGTATTTCCTGCATTTTTAATTTTTGTGATACCTCTCTCCTAATTTTAAGCCCCCACTGGGACGAAGGCACCAGTGCAGACGTGCTTCAGCTAGCAGAGAAAGACAGCTTCTTGGAGTGGAGACGAGCGCTTGCACAGTGTGTAATATTCTGTATTCTCAGTCACCTTTTTTCTTTTAAAGATGGTTTTCTTATAAGCATTAGTGTTGTTGTTATTGTTTATTGTCTAATAAGTTGTGTAAAAAAAATTAAAAACAGCGATTGTAATATGGTTACATCAGTGTAAGATTATTGGTGTCAGCAATTTAACTCCCAAGTGTTCCCCTTAAAGACTAGAAGAGGAACAGAAGTTAATCCTCACCCCATTTGAGAGGAACCTGGAGTTCTGGAGACAACTGTGGAGAGTGATCGAGAGGAGGTAAAAAAACACAAGCTGTATACAGCTCTCAGCTTATACCCGTCTTTAATAAGGAATGTGTGCTCCTTATGTAATACGTAATGCAAATGTTCATGTTTTTCCTGTAGTGACGTCATCGTTCAGATTGTTGATGGCAGAAATCCGTTGCTGTTCAGATGTGCTGACCTGGTAAAGTACATTTGGTAGAGTTGTTTAAGGAGGATGGAACTAAACTGTGACTTACTTTCCAGTGTTTTTCCACCCTGCATTAGGATACATACATATTTTCTGTCACCTTTAAACAGTTTGTTCTCTCTTTTGAATGGTTTTTCATCTTTTTTTTTTCCTCAAAGCCTTCTAACATCTGGGTCTTACTGTAGTTATTTTGAAATAATCAAATTAAATAGAAGAGTAAAACAGCAGAAATACTGTACACAAGTGAACCGAACATTTGACACTTTTCTGTTGTGTGCCGCCAGGAACTGTACGTAAAGGAAGCGTCAGAGCATAAGGTCAACATGGTGTTGGTGAATAAGGCAGACCTGCTGACCAAGGAGCAGAGGCGAGTGTGGGCCAGATACTTCCAGAAACAGGGGCTGAGGGCAGTTTTCTGGTCTGCGCTGGCAGAGAACGACAGACTGGAGGCAGAGGAAAAGGTGAATTTGAGAAGCTGTACATCACTGGTGAATTTGAATGTATGTGTTAATACAGTCATGTACATTTCTTGAGAGCAAGTGTAGATCTACATTCCTTCAGCATGGGGAGCTCGATGTTATCAGTTTGTGACTTTAGATTGTTTCGGAAAAATGCTTGTGAATGTGTGTATATCTTTTTAGCATATTCAGACTTGCTGCATTTTAAAGCCAGTATCAGAATGCAAAGCGTCTCCTCTCACAGGGCATGGAAGTGGAGGAGCCAGAGTGTGCAGAGAGTGACCCAGAAGAAGAAGAAGAAGAAGAAGAAGAAGAAGGACAGCCAGACAATGACAAATACTTGATCCAAAAAGGGGCAACTGGAGAGGAGGAGATGAAGGCAGCGGAGGAGGAGGAGGAGGACGACGATGAAGAGGAACAAGAGAGTGGTACAGACGAAGATCAGCCGGTAAAGATAACTGTCGATGAAGAGGACTGGCACACCTGCTCAGAGGATGATGGAGAAGATGAAGAAGAAGGGGGAGTTGGTTCATCCAATAAATCCTCCTTCCACAACTCAAGCCGGCTGCTGCATAAGGATGAGCTGCTTGACGTGTTTAAGGCTGTTCACAACGGGCCCAGGTGTAGAGAAGGACAACTAACAGTGGGAATGGTGGGTGAAAAATTAACGCGATACAATCGACTGCAAAGTGCATGCTGTGACCAAGTCCTGTTATGAGTCTTCTGATTGGCTTTGTGAATGAATTCAACAGGTTGGGTATCCTAACGTGGGGAAGAGTTCCACAATCAACACTATTCTAAGGAACAAGAAGGTGTCTGTTTCAGCCACTCCTGGACACACAAAGCACTTTCAGGTACAGTACAGCTCTTCAAACCTCTCGATGTGAATTCAAATTAAAAAAGCCTAATGTGTGATTGATTGTGTTGCCTTTTCTTGACACGTATAACAGACTCTGTATGTGGAGCCAGCCCTGTGCCTCTGTGACTGCCCAGGTCTGGTCATGCCCTCCTTTGTTTCTACCAAAGCTGAGATGATCTGCTCTGGGATCCTGCCCATTGACCAGATGAGAGATCACGTACCTGCAGTCTCCCATATATCCTTTGTATGCTGCTGGCACAGCACCTGCAGAATCCTGCAGCAGTTTTTTTTAAGTCAGTGACACAGAACTGTTTGTCTTCAACCATCCAATCATGGCAGCGTGATCAACTGCACCCCTCTGTCACTATGCCCCAGCATCAGCTGGTGATTTATTTACCGTAATGAATTCAAATAACCAAAATCAATTTAAACTTTTTAATGAGAATCTTGAATTTGGACTTCATGAAGCACATATCCCCTCTAACTTTAAGAATTTCTTGGATCTTGGTTAAGTCTTTAACAGATTGGTCACATATGTCAGGTGATCCCTCGGCATGTCTTAGAAGGCACCTATGGCTTCAACATCATCAGACCACGAGAAGATGAAGACCCCGACAGACCTCCCACCTCTGAGGAGATGCTGATGGCTTATGGATGTGAGATTAACAGTTATTTATTGTGTCAACAGAGAATAGATTAACAATAGGCCCAAAAATGTTCTCTAAATGGAGATGAGCGAACTTTTATATCAAATAATAAAAAGTCTCTCATACACTCATGTTTTATTAGCCCACTTCATAGCCTTCTGTTTCCTAGAACTAAGTTTCATTTGAATGTGTACTTTTTTATCTTGAGTAAACTCAATGCTTTTAAATAAGAGCAGCATAAAGTGTATTATTGTGTTTCCCTCTATTTCAGACATGAGAGGCTTCATGACAGCGCACGGCCAGCCTGATCAATCCAGATCAGCCCGATACATCCTGAAGGATTTTGTCACTGTGAGTGCTGCACCCGAGTCAGAACTGAAACGTTACAGTTGCTACTACATTTTAGGACAGAGGGTGTTCACACACGCAACCTAACAATGTTGACTCCTTACAGGGAAAGCTTCTGTACTGCCATCCTCCTCCACATATCAACGCTCAGGACTTCCAGCCGCAGCACAACAGCTTCCTGAATATGGACTCAGACTGCTGTGACCTCTCCTCTTCCACAACAACAAGCAAACCGCAGAAAATCCGGAGAATTGAAAATGTGGTTGACAAGAACTTCTTCCATCAGGTACTATAAATATGCTGTTTTCTTGTTCGTAAGACAAATGCCTTAATAGTAGTTATTGGTTGTCATAGAATATAAAAATATGTGGAATGACATGCTTGAGTATTGATGGAATCTCAATCTTCAGGAGAATGTGCGGGCGCTCTCCAAGGGGGTTCAGTCTGTTATGGGCTACAAGCCAGGCAGCGGACCTGTCGGCCCAGGACAACCTGGTTCAGAGGTGGTGGAGGGAAAACCCTGGAAAAAACACGGCAACAAGAACAAGAAGGAGAAAGTACGCCGTCTCAAACAGCACCTGGACGCCTGACGAAGATTTGAAATCAAAGCAATTTCAATTATGAAATGTACACATGTGATTTCAGAGGAATTAATGCTGACAAGTATCCGTAGGTAGATATCGTCCCTTTAATCTTGTGAGTACAGAACGTTTTGGCTGTCTCAATATTAACAAATGAGGTGCATAATATGTCATATATATATACTGCTCTGGTTAGAAGATCATATTGGCACAATTCATTCCATCAACTGGACCACCGGTTGCACACCAGATCTCACCACAGTGTTTGTAAATGGATTCAACGTCCAGAGGGTGTGAATTTTATAAGACACTGAACATCAATTTATTTACTTGCATTATGAAGGTGTTTTTCAAACGACACATCACAAAGTCTAAATTACCTGGAGAAATGATTGTTTGATACTGTTTTTATTCATAAAAGATGTCATTAATGTCACAAAGCTGTATTATAACATAAATTGTTAATTTTCATGTCAGTGCATCCTTTGTTTACTCCATTTCCACCAGGTATCATCGGTTAATGCAACACAATACAAAGTAGTAAAGGAAAATAATCTGTATTGGCAAATGTTTGGAAAATTACATATTCAAACAATTAATATCTAGGGGCATATGTATCAGTGTAGAGGTTCATCTCTAAAAAAAAGTTTAATTTGCTGCAGTTTCATTGACTAAACATTTACATGAATCAATATTCTGATATCAGCATTTAATCAAATGAAAGTTAAAGGTTCTGTTTAGAATGAAGTTGAATTCACCTAAACCCATGAAATCTGAAGGTGTGCAGAAGATTGCTGAAAAATATGAGTTCAACATATAGATTTGATCTGAATGTTGCCCTGTTGTTGATTTTTGTTTAGATCTTTCTGTATGTTGACTATCGATTGCATAACATTGCATGCAAATGTCTATGGAAGCTCGACTTTGATCTCCAACTAAATGATCAAACAAAGCATGGACGCATTAGTTTAAATTTTGCCTTCAAAACTGAGACTTCTGGAGCTTATTTCCCGCAACATCCAGTGTTCCATATAAGGCATGTCCCAGGTGAGCTCCTCCCTACAACACTTTTGGGCGTCTTACGGCTGCACAGGTGCTGCTGCATGGATCCGTTTTTTCGAGCACAACGAAATGTAAGCCTATTCGCAATTGATATGGGGGGACGTAAATTGACCCTGGAGGGTCAGACAAGAGGAAATCCCAACACTTTCCCCTTCGGTTTGGATGAATTTTGCGTCGATTCGGTCACTACCTGCTTCTCTCATAACGCAGACAAACGTTGCGTCCCCATCGGTCTCAGCCTTCTATCTGCGCTGTTTTTACTGCTGTCATGCTTTCTGTAAGTATGTCTTAAATCAGCATTAGTTCCAGTAATAAAAAATTTAAAAAAAGTTCGAACAATAAAACCCGTATCAACTCTTTAAGCTTCGTGTATCAGAGGTGCACATTTCGAGGAGAAAATCCAGGAGGAACCATCACTTTCCTCTACAGCTTCCTCGGTAACCTGTGCAGCACAATCGGAGCCATTCTGTCCAGACAGCTGCATATTCAGGTAACATAGTTTTTAATCATGGCACTTTAAAAAAAAAAAATAAATCAAATTGTATACAATAATAACTCATCTCTGCTTCCTGCTCTGTAGGTTTTGATGGGTGCTTTTGCTGCTGCTATGGATGCTGTTAGTTTTATTTCTTGCTGCTGCCATGTGCTCCTGAACTGGAACTCAAAGGCAGGTATGTATAGAAAAAACGCCATATCTCAATAACATCAATGCAAACCTTATCCTTCTCAATCTACCAACTGTACCTTGTTCAAACAAAGTGGAGGTGTTTTTAGTAGTAGCATCCAACTGGCCAAACCCTTTAGGCAAAACAGTAAGGAACATATCGGAGACGCTCTACAGATAACCAAACGCATGAATAGAGGATGTGTTAACTGTGTCCAACTGCAAAAATCTCCGTGTGTGTGTGTGTGTGTGTGTGTGTGTGTGTGTGTGTGTGTGTGTGTGTGTGTGTGTGTGTGT